AGTCCTCTAAGAGCCTCGCATTTGCAAGTCCCTCGTGCATTCTCAACTTGGGAACGATCAACCGGCGTTCGCTGCTACGTCCTGGCACTTTCCTTTGCACTGCACTTATACGCGGTCTTTCGCCGGAGGGCCGATCATCTTATGGGCATTCAGTAATGCACGAGGCATTTGGTGTCTATCCCTGCCGTGTCTCTGCCTCTGCTCCTTTTCGAGATAACGCGCCTGCCAGAGCCTGCCAGTCTTTGACAAGAACGCATCACGGGCGCAAGGCGCCTTTGTAGGTCCTTTTTTCATCTTCGTGCCGCACTTTTCTGCGGATGTGGGTTGATGGATAACTTCCCACGTGGGTCATTCAGGCACCAGCATTGCAGGAACAGCTCGAGGCAGGCACAGTGTCGCAAGGTCCTGGTGCCTTGACACGCCTGCGAAAAGAAGCTCGGCTCTGATCCCCCGAATGGGAAGATCCCTGACTGGGCTTTCCTTCAGCCTTTTCTCAGTAGCTTACGTACAGGCTGCAGATTCCAGAACAACCATCCTTGAGCCACGGCCTTGCAGCTTAGTGCCACAGGCCAACCGCCAGGTAAGTCCCGCTCCTTGCCGCGGTAGCCGGCGTTTTCGGATTTGCCCTCGGTGGCGGCCTTGCGGATTAGGTGCCAGCGCCGCAAGATTGCTGGGGAGGTCTGAGTCTCTCAAAGGGTTCTTGTGTCCCGGGATGCATGTAAGGGCGGTCCTTCCGGCATGCCAAGGAGTTCACGCAGCTCTTGGATGCCTGAATGGACGACCCAGCTCTTGATCGCCGATTCATTTATGCTTGTCGGGCCCGGAACTTTCACCCTGGAGTAAGACTCTCGGATCGGTCTTGAGTCTTGAGCATTTGAGAATCGTGTTCTCAAAACACACCAGTCCACCCTCCGTGGTTGCAATGTGCTGGCACCGTACAGAGCCACAGAGTGATGTACTGCAGCGAGTGCCCTTAGTTCTAAGCCCTATCGCGTGCCATCGCCTGCTGAGTGGCCGTGCAAGCTGGTCCTTCACAGAAAGCCTGGGGCTTCTAGGATACCCAGCTGTAATCTAGTTTCGGAGAGCCTCGCATTTCTCAAAACATGTGCAATCGCCAGCCTTGCCCAAGCCAAGTGAGGGCACGACCCAGACTTTAAGGTGGAGACGAAGCCCAAGTATCAGTGCTCCCAGAGAGTGATAATGTCGGGCCAGCTGAAGGCTTTAAGGTATTTAAGTCGTCGAGGTTTGGACCCAGTAGTTTAGCCGCATTGGGTAGCCGCAAGAGCCGCCAGCAGCTCCTTTTAAAGAACAGTTTTGGCAAGCTTGATGTTCTCGGGTGGTTGCTAAAGGCGGGTCTTTAAGCTGCTTGTCATGGCAATGACAACTTCAAGTCGAGCCATGAAGAGATATGTATCGCTGAACCCTGCAGCCCAGCCTTGCCCCATGCCGCCGAATCGCCACGGCCAAGGGCATGCGCTTTCAAGTCGATCCTTCACGTCGCAGTGATAGGCCGGATGAGCCGAAGCACCCTGCTCCTTGGGATGTCGAGAAAGCGCACGGATAGGTTCAAGGCCCTAGGCTGACAGGGCCTTGGAGGAGCCACAAGCTAGGAAGAAAAGCTGCCGAACACAGCCCCTGACCTAGCGCCCCGGTAAGAATCATCCAACTCGAGATCCCTGTGCGTAAGACGGAGCTCTGTAAGCGAAGCTCCGTGTCCATGAGATCTGCAGGAGAATTTTGGGGATGTCGAGCTCGGAGCCTTTGAAAGGCCCATCACAACCTTGAGAAAGAGATGATCCGCCTTCTCAGGCGCCGCGAAAAGCCGTAGCAAGGAAGGGATCGGTGACGTCTGCCATGCCAGGCATCCAAGGTGGAAGTCCTGTTAAAGTGAGCTTGCCTTGCGGATGCTTCGGCTGCTTTCGCCCACATTCATAACTCTCGCAACTTTGGCCCTGCTGACTTCCACTTGGGGGTACTGAGCTGCAGGCATGCCGTCCCTTGGACAAGTCTCCCGCGAGATGTTTCCATCTGAGAATAGCGTGTCAGATCAAAAGTCGCCGTCTCCTCCCGGCTTTGAAACCGCTTGAGGCTTTGAGGCTGAAGCCTTTGACGTTGGTGAGGTAGATCTGCGTGAGGGCGTGAGGGGCTTCTCCTTGGAGAGATGGTGCCTGCAGAGCTTCACCCTACGAGCGCAGCTAGCGCTCTTTCGTGCTTACTCTGTGCTCGAGGAGGCTCTCCCTTCCTTGCGTCTTGCTTGACGAAGGCACATGCTTGCCTGTCCATTTCCATGTGGCTGCCGGCTGCGGCCCCCGATCTCGTGGCATTCCACGAGCTTGTGCCTTTGAGCCAAGCGTTCCATCGCAGGGGTTGGTCGTTTTGTCGGGTGCCTCGCAGGGAGACCGGTGACTCTCCACTCCAACCTCGGTTCGGCATGCAAACATCAAAATCCGGGTCCCCTGCAGAACGGCTCGAAGCCAAGACTTGTGAGCAAGAGGAATCCCCATGATGTAAGCTTGCAACCTCGGAGGCCGAAGCTACATGCTGTCTAGTTGACTTCGTCCAGCTTTGCCGTTGCCGGGTCGGAACAAGGACTCTCAGTCTGCGCTGTGAAGGCAGCTTCGCACGCCCTAACCATGGCAAGCATCTGGCTGCAAGTCTCTCGCGGGCTTTCTGCCGGCACCGAAGGCAATGATGACACTTCGGGAGGCCAGGCAGCTGCTGGAGGAAAGCCTTCGAACTGCACGGACGGAGCTCCAGCCGACGCTGTTTTCCAGCTCTCTCGCAGCACCTCTGCGGGGGCGGGTAACATGACTGCAGGGACTCCCCCCCGACAAAGCTTCTGCCACCAGGGGGCCCCCTGAGCCCGGGCATGCTGAGTTGCTGAGTTGCTCCGTTAAAGGCACCTTTGGCTGCAGTCTGGAAAACCGCGAGCACCGAATCAGAAAATTAAAAGGAGGTCACGAGAGAGAGGCAGGAATCCGGGCAGTCCGAAGTGAATGTGCCCTTCCAGTGTATTGAGCACCGCTCGTCTGGTGGTGCTCTTCAGTGCTTTCGGGTAGCCTCCTCTGCCCCCAAGCTGTTTTTGTGCATGGCCTTTCGAAAGGTCGACGTTGACTTGAAGTCGTGGTCCATTTTTTCGCAGAGTCAGACATAATTCCCGGGATGAGGGAGTTAGGCTGAGAAGGTTGAGCCTGCCGGTGCAGGCGACACCTCTTTCCCGATACGGGGAGTGAGGCAGGTCTGGGACCTCGACTACGGCATCGTAGCCCCCGTTTAGGATTTCGGGTATGGCAAGCCCAGGATGACAATCAGCTTCAGGCTCCCTCAGCGGCCGGATGCTGGCCGAAGCCACGATGCTGTTGAGGCAAGCTGTTGCCTTGGCTCCTTCGACCTCTGGTGGATCCTGCCCAGATGTTGAGGTCTCCAGCTTCCACAAGATTCCAGCTGCAGCTTTAGCTATCCGATGTTTGCCAAAAGGCTCCGCCCACTCAGTGTAGTTTCCTCCATCATGGCAGAGATTGGCTACGAGATTTTTAAGACATGGGCGGCACCTGCCCGTTGAAATTGCTGTGCACATGGCGCTGTAGACAAGTAAAATGTGCCATATTGGCACGGATTCGGGTTCATGTCGCCTGAAGCAGAGCAGAGGTGGGTTGCAGCTTCGAAGGAGATGCTTCAGCAGGAAAGGGGCCGGGATGAGGTATCTGCACTCAGCAGAGTGAGCATCAATGACTCGCCTTAAGCTGCCCAGTGCAATCGGAGAGACTGCCACGACAGCTAGTTTGACGATTGCTCGGTGCGTGTCAGACACCAGGTGCCAGCTGGCGAGCAAGGCAAGACAGAGTGGCTTCTGCCTTAACTGCTAACAACAGGCCCCGAAAGCTTCACAAAATGGCAGACACTGCTACAACAGATCCCGACTCACATTCATGCAACCTCAAACCCAGGGAGTCCAGTTCAGCTTGCAGGGATGTGTTTGCTTGCTGTTGCATACCCCTTTGCGAACACGCTCCTGCTCGCCTCCGTTGAAGTCTTCGCCTCTTGGAACAGCCGGCGCCCAACCAAAGCTGGCCATAGTTGCAAGGGTCATGGGAAATTGTCGCGGATCCTGGTGCTTTCAAGAAAGGCTTTGAACGTCTCACGAGGTTGCGTGCTTCATTCTTCCAGGGCTCCCTACACTGGGGTATTGAGGATGCAAGAAGTTTCAGGTGTTTGTTGATGCAGTGTTGCGACCTGGCTGCATACGACACCGACGAGGCCTGACAGAAACCATCTCTGTGCACGCTTATGAGCATGTCCTATCCCGGACCGCCAAAAGGCTGCGCAGCAACTGCATGCAAGGCCATGCAAAGCTAAGCCGCGCGACCTTCTTTGGACACCTATAGAGACGCCTGAAGGCATAAGCTGCGCAAGCTGCCCGTGCCACAAGTATTCCATGCATCCTGACTATGCCAAAAAGCCCGTTGATTCCTGAGCTTTCACCTGTGTGCTGATACACCCGTGTGTAACGAAGCGCACGGTGCTCGGCCATCGGCCAGCCTTAGAGACGGTTGCCGATGCTCGCGCAAGCCGCTCAAGCATGCAGGCCGTGGTCACTAAGATCAGATGTCAGTGCCTGGAACGATTAGCAAACAAACCTCCATTAGTTGTCATTGGGGCTTCCGTGTCGAGCTGAACAAAGACCCAGCGAACTTGCATGCTTCCTCATGTCACCACGGTTGTGCACGAGGGCGTCTTTCCAACAGGAGATTTTCGTGGCGCACTCTTGCTTTCCCTGCAAGGGTAGACGAAAGCGTTGTGGGCAATGGCAAGGTGGCTTGGATCCATGCAGTGCAGCACTGGGCCCTCGCCGTACCAAATCGCTTGAGGGCTCTCTGTCGCCCGGTGTCCCACCAGGACAGCACCCCAGGCCGGAGAATGCCCGAGAGGACCTGTTGCAGGTGCGCTTGTGATGGTCGGAAGAAGCACGTTGGTGCACTCCACGTCTTCTGGGTCTGGGTATGCTGCGCCCAAACAGCCTGCACTTCTCGGGCTCTAGCTGTGGTCCCTGTGTGCCGCAGTCCCCTGAAAGGGCTGGTGGCGCAGATCCCAAAGAGTCCCGGCCTCTGCCGGGCCTGAAGCTCTTGTTATGTGCCTGCGCTCCAAGCTCATCCCGCTCGTCCGCATCTGTGGAACCGGTCACAGCGCGCTGTGATATGGCAGTGCCGAAACACTGTGGTCCGCCATCAGCCATCGAGGCTCTTCAGATTCAAGAGCCTAGTTTCTGGGTTCTGTGGCTCTTCCAGGCTGTCGGAGTTCATCCTTGACTGGAAAAGAGACAAGGACAATTCTGCATGTGCGGGTGAGACATAGCCAACCTGCTGGAGCACAATGTGCAGTCAAGCGCTCAGCGTGACTGGCTGCCAAGCAAGTAAATCAGTCCTGGCAGCCACGGCCCGGCAAGATTTAAACTCTTGAGTCTTTCTCAGAAACATGACAGATGCGATGCCGAATTGGCGTGGGGCCCCTTAGCCTGAAAAGTAAGGTCTGCGTGCTCTCGAACATGCTTCCCTGCCGCGTTGGGCCGAGAGGTTGTACTGCTTTGCTGGTGAATGCGCGTAACCACAAAGCCCTTGCTTGTGCATTGTCCGTGAACCAAGACGAACTGTCTCAGAAGCAATGATCGCGCGACGACAAAGACACAGCAAGCATCAAATCAGAGCCTGTCATTGCAGGTGTTAAGGCATCGTGCTGGTCCTCTGAATATTCCACTCTACAAAACAACTACCGTCAGGTGTATGCGCAGTTCCAAGCCTGCCGCAAGTCCGTACCTATCACGGTTGGCGAGCAAGCCCATCATCTTGCATTACACAGTCCCACTCCCATGTGCCAAGGATAGATGAGGTGTGCGAACGCATGCTTCATCTTCCCTGCCAGAGCTTGGCCCTTAACCCCGAGGCAGTGTGGTTCAATCAACCACGCAAGAAGATACCCTATCATTTCAGGGTCTTGGGAACTGTTGTGCCGGGCACTGGGCCAGTGGCAAGTCTAGCTTTGTTGCTTGCAATTGGCTGAATACGCACTGCCAGATTGCATGACATGGGGACTGCGAGGGCCGTAATTGCAAAGCCACACAGGCACAGAGTTCAAGTGCGGCAAGTGCTCAGTTCGTCGGCGACTTGCTCCGCATTTCCGCGCAGAGCGGAGCGTAAAGAAAGCGCACTCCAGCGTGCGCTTGTGTCTCGCAACCTTCTGAGTGAAAGCTCTTCCGAAGGGTTGCGACAGCCGTTTCTGGAAGTGACCAGCAACTCGTGGGGCAGTCGCAACACCTGGCTCCTACTTCCCTGCCTCTGTTTCTGCAGGCAGCACGGAACATAACCTCTGGAAACGGGACTGCAAAGTCTCACATGCCTGTGAGGCCCAACTTCATCTTGGCATTTAGTCTCCGGGTTTGCAGCAGAAACAGGAGTGCCCATGGGTAGGAAGGGCCGCATCACAGAGGTATCATGCTGAGTTCCGGCCACTTAGTGCCGTCCTCGCAGCTTTCGTGCAGGAGCTGTGGACTACTGTGTGCACATGTTAGCCCCCGAGTTGACAGTTGGGCCCGTCCCTGCAGTGTCAGCACATGCACTGGCCCTTCCTGCTTCCTGACAGCACCGGGACGGAAACTGCCTCTCGTCCTGCCCTCATGTCCAAGATGTTGCTGTCGTCGCGGTAGAAGCGGCAGGGAAACTCCTACTCCACGAGGATCATAGCAGCCTCTCAAAGCTACGGCTTCCAGTAAGCATGATGGGCTGGTGCGTCCTACTGCTTCTCACTACCGTGGAGAACGCCTCTGCTTCGCAAAGATGTGACCTTGAAGTACACGGTTCTGCGGTTCTGCGATGACGCCATTGGTCAGGCTTAAAGCCAGCCTTGGAAACCTGCAAAGTCCGAGCACTGTGCGAAGACCCGCACACTGACCACTACGAACTCGCCAGAAGAAATCCTACGGGGCGAGAATGAGAATTCAGAAGGAGTCGTCTTCATAGAGGATCACACTCTAAGCAGCGTCGTCACCCTCACCAGTATGACCCTGCCTAGGGTCGTGCTGGCATGTTCTGTGCCGTCGCATCGTTCTCGTTTTTTGAGCGTGCTTCCCGTTATGTTCTCCTGCCAGCCAGTACACCACATTTGCCTGCTTCTGCATGCTGCGCCGAAGAATGCGCTGCCCATTAGCCAGCCAACTGCTTGCAAGATATCCGGCAAAGGTTAACAGCGCGACTTCAGCTGAAGGTGTGATGCGGACCAATAAGGCGTATGGCCTCGCACGACCAGCTTCTTGAAGAGGCGAGTCCAGACAGTACGGTGCAGACAGTGTGGCTCAGGAGACCTGCGTGCGGCCGGATCTCGGAAGGATACCTCGGCTGTGGTGCTGGTTACCTGGTTGCCAGGACTGCAGGATAGAAGTCTTAGCACCGGAAGGAAGCAGGCCTTGACTGGGAGATCTTACACGCTGAGGCGAATGCAGAATAAGTCACCTAGGTTATGACAAAGGCACGGGCAAGGTTGGCAGGGCTCGCCAGCAAATCTCCTGCTTGGTGGAGCTTGTCCTTCGGAGGAAGGCCCAGTGGGTTGAAGCAAGTAAGATCTCTTGTGTGAACTCCGAAGCTCACTTCTCGGAGGGTCCATACATGTCAATCTTGATCAAACCCATGCCGAAGCAGGGAATCCCCGCCAGTCAATCCCTGCTCTTGCATGCATGATGCAGACATTTCCTCAGCTTCCAGACCGTCCTCGCTACAGCCTCCTCCGCCTCCTCCGGCTCTTCAAGTGGGGACGGAGGCTCCGGCATTGCCAAGCAGTGCGGCCAGCAGCTCTTCCGTGTCTGCAACACCGTCCATTGCATGTCCCAGTCCCAGCCCTGTCGCAGTGCCACTTCACTGGTCAGCAAGATTTGTCGGATTGGTGGCGAAATGGTGCCGCATCTGCAATGCCCCACCTTGTGTGCGTGCTTCTTGGCGTTGTGCACGGGCTGCAAATGTGTAGGTGTGGGTTTTTTGGGGCAGTGACTGCTTCCCCGGCCTTCCCCTGGCGGCTCCTGGCTTCTGCCGACTCTCTGGCTTGGAGCTAGGATTCCAGCGCGCGTGCACGACCACGCGCAAACCAGACCCTGAGACAGCGACGGTGCCTTCTTCAGCATCTTAAGCCGCGCCGAGAAAAGAAAGCCGTGGATTCCTACGGAGCTGCTAGTCGTAGAGTCGTAGATGCATGTATTTGCTAAACGAAGCCAGCATTAGATCATCTTAGACGGAGATGCTTTGATGGCCGTCCTTTTTGAAAATATCCGCATGAAGCGTGTGATGACTCCGGCCCTGTGCAGTTTAAGGCAACTTTGCAGAGAAATAGTTAGAGAGACGTTGGCCGGCAGTAGCGTGGGAGCAGGTTGAACAGGCACCAGTGCGCACCGGTGGATGCGGTCAGTGCATTTGCAAACCGGTGTTCACAGGGAGGACAGGCGTAAAGTGGGTCCTTCGACATTCCACCTTGCTGCTTTGAGCTCGGCTGCAGTCATGCTTTCCGGCTGTCGTCCGTGCCTTTCGGGGCTACGGAACATCATGAGCAAGTTGTGAGGACGCCCAGCACCAACCCCCGCCAAGCCTGTCGATTGATAACTGAGAAGCGCAGCTGAGATAGTTCCGAGATATCTGAAGCAATCCTTGCTCTGCAAATGCTTTCAATTTAGTTGGCCCAGTGCCGTGCAGAACATCCTTGTAGCCCGATGGCCATTGCCGAAGCACTTCAGCCTCACGACTTCAGTGGCTTAATGGGTAGCACGGTGGGCCGGTGCTTGTGTGCGTTCATGAAATGCAGCCGTACCTGTCCATCCATCACTGACTTGGCAGACGTCTCAAGAGGAATACGACTGGCCCAGTACACGGTCTAAACAGACGGACCTAGGCTTTAAGCGCCGATTCGTTGGAATCCTGCGGATCCGCGAGAAGTCGAATGCAAAGTTTGCACGCAGATGGCTCAAGAGCAGATGCAAATTCGCCACGTCCATGTGCAGTGAGGCAAGACTCCAAAGACTGCACAGTTCTCTAATCCTCCAATGCACAGACTGACATGCTTCTGGACAAGCAAAGACGTGTGTCCTGGATGCATCCTACAGGAACTTGAAGATGCATCTGCTACGACAGATCGCTGGCCATGTTGGCAACGTGCGTGCATCTTTAGAATATCCGATCACTACTGTATGTCAGCATTCGGATCCGAAACCTCATGGCCGCCCGGATGCTCGCAGTGGCTTACGAAGTAGGGCTCTTGACGTGAGTGTCGCGCATTTGGGGCAAAGGCCCTTGGTGAGGCTCGCCCACGCGAAGCCAGATCGCCCCAAACGCACAGAGGCATAGAGCATGGAGATATGAGTCGTTGACTGGGGTGTCTCTGCCATTTGCTAGCCTTTACCAGGACATTTGTCGGCAGAGGTCACCGCCTTCACATCTGCTCGGTTTCCCAGTCCTAGTCTCTCGCAAAGGCTTGGAATTCAACACTGCCTTCGTTGCGCAGGGCTTCTCACGACAGGTGCGCTGGGTGGGGTCTTTTCAGCATGGAGCGTTGTTGCCGCGCTGGGTTGACCCTCCAGCAAGGTTTAACTAGGCCAGGCATCATGCGGAAGCAGAGCTCTTGATGACCGCAAGCTTGTGCGCCTCAGCGACGCGTTGAATTGCACGCATAGCTACACTCCGTGCTGCAGGTGCATGTGCGTGCAAGGCAGGCCGCAAGTCTCCAAATGCCAAGAGCAGTTCGTCCCGTTGCCACTACTCTTCGCGTGCAAATGTGAGAGGCCTGGGAGCAGGCTTCCTGCATGTCCATGCGCTTGCAAAAAGAGTCGGTCAAGCTCGTGATCTACTGCACGTATACTCCTAAGTAGCCGGAGGGGTTCTAGCCGAACGTGGCCGAGCAATCCGTCAAACGATTCGCCGGTCAGCTCAAATCGCACTTCAAGTTAGCCCGCGTCGGCCAATCAAGAAAGAGTTGGTCAAGAGGTGGCGAAAACCGTCAGACAAAGGGCTTCTGCGGCACCATGCAGAGGCATACCGGTGTGTGCTGTCCGCCTGCCAGCCAGGCAGGGAAGTGCTAGCCAAACAGAGTCAAGCCATTCGTTACACGATGCTCCGGGCAGGTCAAGCCGGGCTTCAATTTAGCTTGCACTGGACCAAGACTAAGAAGAGCAAGTTAATCAAGACCTCACGGCGACTGTCAGACAAAGGGCGACTTCGGTGCCATGCTGCAGAGGTATACCGGTGCCCACTGCCCAATGCTTTCTCATTGTGCAGCAGGGCTG